AGAATCTAGTGACTTTATGATTTGGCAGCCATTCGGAGTTTATTTCTTCACAATTTGAATTGATTAGCAGAATGAACTTCTATTCTTAAGTTGATGTCCACTGATAAATCTCTTTTCCTGAGTTATTTACTTATAAGTGCTTGTGGGAATTTTATTGAACGATCACATTGATTACTTAATACGTATATATATATATATATATATATATATATATATATATATATATATATATATATATATATATTCCAATTATTTAACTTTGAAATATCAAATTCGCCCAAAAGTATGCATTACTTAATAACAATAATCTATAATTTGATAACAAAATGTATTTACAAGCAATGATGGGTAGTGGCTTGCAGTGGAATCCACAACGCGCATTTCTTCCTATTTCGAACTCGTCAGCTGGATTTACCTACATCTCAGAGTTGATGTTCACTCCGGTACTCGAACCCAGTACCAGTCGCTTCAAACGCCATCGCGTTGTCCCCTCAGCTACTGAGTCCAGATAGCCACTTGCTTGTGCCATGGAGTGAATTTGAATTCACTTGGTATTGTTTGGCTTGTATCTACCCATTGAGGTTTAAGACTGCAATTGATCAGTCTGTTACTGGCATATGCGCATACTGTGTGTATGCCTCGATATTGCCTTAATTCACAAGCTTTTTGTAAGCAATGATGGATAATGGCTAGCAGTGGAATCCAGGACTGATCATCAATAGCAGTCTAAAACCTCAATGAGGAGATACAAGCCAAACAATACCAAGTGAAAGTGTATTTACTTTAAATTTTGTTATTTCTGATAAAAATAATATGAACTATGAATTGTAGAATGCAATCTTTCTAGAACTGCACTATGTTGAATAGATGAAATAAGGTTAGTGATGGAATCCACGATCTATTCGTTTCAATAAAGTTCTGTATGAACTTTGATTATTTAGATTTTTTCATAATTTAATCCTACTAACTGATAATATCGAACTAACTTTAAATATGTACTAGCATTAATATAGGTGATGGAGATTTGTAGCTAAGGTGGATGACTTTAATATAGTTTTGTCCTCTGAACTGCATGTTTTACTCATGTAGCTTTCAGCGTTCTTCTAAACGACACATCAGCACAAAATTCAGATAGAAGTGAAGTGCTCGAATTTCTACACATGTAGTTCACAGCTTGTCCTATACACTTCAATATTATTGGAAAGTATATTCTGATCTCATTCATGTGACAATTATTCCAACAATCTATTGGATTTGAAAAGAACGGGAATATCAAATTGTTTTTATTTTCGTAGAACTACTTATAGATTGAGTTTACACATTTAGATGTGAATATGAATTATGGATGACATTTGAGCAACACTTAAATAACCTTGATAAAATTGACTTAGCAACTAATATTTAGAATGAGGTTATAAATTAGTTTAAGAAGTTAATAGGATAATTAAGATTTTCATTCAGATTTTCATCACGAATTAACATGAGCTATATTATCAAAAATCAAAACTCATGGTATGGTGTAGGTTACTTATATCCATTTAAGCAGTATATAACAGTGGTCAGGTATATAATGTGTTTCAGTAGAAGATTGATAAGGAAAGAACGGAAACAGAATGCAATAGGTATGAAAATGTATGAACAATGAAATCTGAGACTATGGATTGATATTTTGTAAATTAACAATTTACTATATAGTTCTTAGATTTTATTGAGATGCGCTATCATTTCGTGTCACATACATTCGATTGTCCCCATTGGGGTTCGTGTTTACTACTAATAATGCTAAAATGTAATTGGTTTGATTTCACAGGTTGAAATAATGAGTCAATTGAAGCTAGACCACCATGGAAAACCTGGAAGTACTGGACGTTACCAGTGCAGTTCAACCAGGTCTGTTGTGAGATATCAACTCACTGAAGACAATGGTGTACGGTGGCGCAACTTCGTGGATTGGTTGAAGTTAGACATTAAAACCGTCGGATGTCGGCTCAGTGGTCCTGGGTTGGAATCCCGCGGGGTGCGAGATCGTGAATGCGCATTGCTGATGAGTCTCATACTAGAACGAAACGGCTGTCCAGTGCTTCTAGGTTTTTGATGGTGGTCTAGCTTCAGTTGACTCATGATTTCAACCTGTGAAATTTCTAAAAATCTCCACAAAACGTATTCCGATTTGATTTATAAATTTTAGTTTCTTATCATTACATATTTCATCGATTTTTAAAAATGTCTAATTAACTCTTATAACTAGAATAAATATGAATCCATTGTTCATTTATTCAATAGTTAAGATTATAAGTCCATTGAAGTTAGACCATTAAGAACTTACATTCTATCACATTTCATCAATAGTTAAATTGAGATCAATCAATTAATGAATTGTGAATTTATCAAGTGTACTTTATTATGAAATAATCTTAATTAATAATGACATATTATAATGAAAAGAATAGCATAGTTATAATGACTTCAATGAGTAAGTGATTAGAAAACTTCTGACGTTTTATACGACCTAATGTAAACAATCATGTTAGTTTGTATCTTTGACATGTCTCTATCCACAATAAAACAATCATTCAATGTAAAATATAAAGTAGATTTAAATAGTAGAAAATTATGTCAAGAAGTTGCTACGTTGTATAATATATGAAAAGGAAAAGGAACAGAATTGTTTTAATCGATGGTCAATAGAATAGTAAGAATCAAGAGATGAATATTGACAAATTATAAAGTTCAAAAACAAAATTAAAAATGGGAAAAAAATAAGACCAAATGAAAGAAGTATGAAAAATAGTTCTGTTGAAGGAAATCTTATACCGATGACCAAGGCAATGAAAGTAGTTGTACAAATTTCTTTTGAATGCAAAGATTAGATTTGTGAACATGGATTGAGATGGCTTCCGCAATGTACAAAAAGCGCACTTGTAAACCATGTGGCAAATTTTATGGGATAAGATAGATAACCTTAAAAGCTTTATATATATCATTAGGTAATGATCAATGTTATATGTGTCAGATTTTTCTTAGTGTAGATCTAATCTTATCGATGAGATAAATAAAAACTATTGAACTTATCCATCACAATAAAATTTATACACAATAAAGATTGTTAAACTTATATGTTAGATATCTAATGTATAGTTCGCCCCCAAATGCCCTGGTATGGCTGAGAGTGGGGTGGGCCCGCCCCCCCTCTCGAAGTGCTCTCACACGGCCACGCGTATACAGCCTCTGCCAGGGAAGTCCTACTCACTGATTTCTCATACCACAGGTGTTGTTTACGAAATTAAGAGGACGAAAAGCGAATGTCTGGCGCTTTAACCGGATCCCAAACCAATGGTACACATGGGCTCCAGGATCCTGAAGGAACAAATGGCGTATGAATCAATCGTTGGTCACCGGCTACCATGGGATTGCATCTCCTCACGATGCTCTACTGCCTTGTGGGTTAGACCTTTAGGTCAAAGGCTCGGGGTGTGGCCTCCTAAGAAAACTACCTGCTTCGGTTCGGGCACCCGGGCAGTATCACGGCCCACACACTATTGATGAATTATTTATGTGGCGCATATATATTTGGTGCCTCTTTGTACCAATATTCACTTGATTTGTGTGTGGGCCGAAGCAGGTGATTTTCTCAAAGTGCCACATCTGGAGTCTTCGATCCACAAGGCAGTGAAGTAACGTCGGGAGATGCAGTCCCATGGCAACCAGTGACCAATAATTGGTTCGTATGCCATTAATACTCTCAGGGTTCTGGAGCTCGTGTGCACCATTTGTTTGGAATCAAGGTTATTCAACTCCCCTAGGGGGTCCTTCACACCACGCTAGAATTTGTTTTAATAATCCCAGCTCGTGTTAGTAAAGTAGTCGGTCAACGTGAATCAATGCTTATATGTATGACTAACTTACTTTGACTTAAACAGTAAATAATAGATCATCTAAACTATTGAACGTTAGATTTCGAATATTAAATTGTATTCGTATCATAATATTATGTCATCAGTTTATACAGTTCAAGAGAATGAACAAAATGGGAGTAATTATTTAAACTTATCATCCACTATGACATTCATGTTTTTATCTTTAAAATCTTCGAGTTTTGGTGTAGAATTTTGTTGTATATCTTTTTTTCATGTTGTAAATGGTCATCATGTTTACAGTGTGAGACCAGTATGATCCTTTGGCGTCCTGCTTGAACATCTAGTCTACCTATTCCTCCCATCTAGATATTTCAATAAGTTATATATTTTTATTCGTCGTAATACATCATTATGTCTATTAGTTGCATAACCTAGTCAGATGAGCTTCTGGATAGTGTACAACCTTTTTTTGTACAAGTTACAAAATGCCCAATCAGAGATATCGTAGTTGCTGGCAATATGCAGTGAAATGAATGTACATTATTCAGATATTGATTCATGAACTGTTAACTTACGAACTTAGACAATTACTGCAAAGAAGCTAAAACGCTGAATGTTTAATTCAAAGAACAATCTATTTATTGATATTAATTTAGTCACTGTTGAATTCAATGATGAAAATTCTGTTTCAAATTCTATATCCAAATAAATATATCATATGAACTGTGTTGCTGTATTCTGTTTTTAATCACTAAGGTGATATCATTTTCACGGTGGGGATTTGTGGAGATTGTAGTATTTTCACGAGTCAATTAGATAATGGATGAAGGGTTGTGAAAGGTCCATGAGTCGATTTAATTTAGATAATAACACCGGCTCACTGGTTTCGAGGCTAAGTGTTCGTGCACAAGCCCAAAGGTCCTGGTATCTAGTTCCGCATTCAGATTCGTGGATGTGCCTCATTGTGTATTCCCATACTAAGACGAAACAGCCATCAAGTTCTTTCAGATTTTCAATGATGTTCAAGTTTAGATCGACTCATGAATTCAATTGTAAAGATACCATTTTGTTTAAATATAATTAAAAAGTATCTCAGCATATAGTCTATTCAATTAAAGTTAACATCATGTTTTATTATTTCAGGAAATTTTGATTTATTAATTAAAAATACTCAACTTGAAGATGAAGCCAGTTTTATTTGTCAAGCTAATGTGAAAATATATTCCACTTCAGGCATTGAACCACAATTGGATACAATCACTAGTAAACCAGCTTATCTAACAATTATATGTAAGTTGAATTGAATTTAATAGAAGTTTTGTACATTATTATACTTTTTTCTGTAACCATGTATCGTTTGAAATAAACTTATGTTCATAAATATTTCAGTTACTGGAATTATATAATTCCAAAATTACTCTTCCCAAACTTGTCGAAGCTGTTTCATTGAAAGAGAATTTGACAAATACCATTTTAGTATCAAAACGAGTTTTGTGGATATTATAGTAATTCCAGTGGTTGAGATCATGAGTCAATTGAAGCTAAGACCACCATGGAAAACCTGGAAGCACTGGACGGCCGTTTCGTCTTATTGTGGGATTCCTCAGCATTGCGCATCCACAATTCGAACCCATGATCTGTCAGTCTCGCACCAAGTGCCAAATCAACTAGATCACTGAGCCGGCATCCAATGGTGCTAATGTCTAGCTTCTGGTACTAATCAACATATGCTCACTAGTGACTGGCTTCAAGAGGTATATCCTGGAGTTCTAGTGAAAAGCAGTGACCAATGGGGTTCAACCGGGTCAGTTGTGAGATAGTAACTCACTGATGACAATTTGAGATAAAACCTGAATAATATAACTTTAGGGACTGTAACAGTACTTGATCGTAAAATGTTCATGTTACCCACCAATATGCGAATATAGCGACTTGAATTACAATTACATAATAACAATCTACCCGAAGTTCAATTTATTTGAAATTATCAAGTCAAACCTTGGTAATGAAACTTACTGAATGATAAATTTAATCCCTATCTGTTGTACATTACTTAGAATACTCCAGTAAACATTTGAGATTTCTCATATTTATCTTTATTAAATTTATGGTTATTACATTAATTTTTTATTACTAAATTTCAGTTCCTCCTTCAGGTTTAACTTTAATTCATTTACAAGATAGTCAGATTGAAAAGAATCATCAAATACCAATCACTATTAATTCCATGTATATACTACCTAATACTCATTACTCTAATTATATAAATGATCATAATATAAACCATCATGTATATACAACAAAAGAATTAAATCAAATTAATGATAAAGATCTTAGTCATATTGTTGCTGATGATCCTAAAACTGAATTTTTTATGGATTACAATAAAAATTATATAGATCATATTAAACAGTCATCAGATACACAATATACATTACAGAATAAACCATTGAAAGAAATGTTAGTTACTTATGGTTCTTCAAGTAATATATATAATAAAAGTCCTAAAATATGGATAATAGAAAAGAAAACATTGATTATATCTTGTCATACATCACCATCAAAACCTGCTACTACAATTCAATGGCATTTAGCTGGTTTATTATTGATTAAGAATTTAAATAAATCACAATCATTTTCTAATCATCAAAATTCATTTATTGATTATACAATCAATGAAAAAATTATGAATATTTCAGACAAATCAATATTTTTAAGTAAAACTAATTCAATATTGTTCCCTAATACATCAGTAACAAGTTTAATTGATGATGTACACATGTAAGTATTGATTATTCATGATACTTTTATTATTATTATTATTATCATTATCATCAGAATGGGTCTTTATGAAGACTGTAGTAATTTGAATAGTTGAATTCATGAGTCGATCTAAGCTAGATCATTATTGAAAACCTGGAAGCACTAAACAGCTGTATAGAAGATGTAAGACTAGATATTTATTTGTCTGGGAGATAAGTTTCAACAATTTGAATCAATATGAGAAACTTGAAAATTAACGGATAAGATTAAGTAAGTGAGATCCAGTTATATACAGAACTTCAAAACTGGTGAATAAGAAATCATATGTACTAGTTATTATAGCCAAACACAGGTTGTATTCATCTAGTATACGGTAACCTACAAGTCTGTAATTTCCAAACTGATCAAACTAGTCATTACAGATACCATCTACTGAGATTTGGTTGTTATTAGTCATCATGTATCATGGATATATGTGAACAATACCACTAGTTGATCAACAATCTCTTGACCTGCCAATAATGTAGGTAATGTTTCTTAGACAAATTAAACTGGGTTTTTCAGCCATACACTAGTATAAACTCGGTTAATGCACAAAATATGTCATAAGTTGGGGAGACGGTTTGTACCTTTGTTGATATTTCGTTAATTGCTAACTTATCGTTGTTCATATAACACTAAATATAGGTAAAACCATGGCAAAAACGACATTAGGTTTATACTAGTCTTTGTTGCCAACAAATTAGCATTTGGTGACAGTAAAACGTATAATGGTATATCATATTCAGTAAGAATTTTATCTAACAAAGAAATAGATGTTCTATCTAAACAGTATTCATGACGAGGTTAAATCACTGAATTCTTTGGATATTTGGCAGGGATGTCTTTATAAAGAGCGTTTAAAAGTCATGAATTAACTAGATTGACGTAAGATAAGCCATTCATAAGCAATTACTGTCATAGTTATCATATCAGTATTTGTCTTTGTTTTCGAATCGATTATACCTATGGATTATGTTTGCTATATTTTTCTGATATGTAAGGCTAATCGTATTTCGTTCTTAAGAGAATTTAGATACGCTCTGACAATAATTTTAAGTTGGTCAGACACCTAAATCTCCTGTATCACGTCGGCTGACTCCAACAGTCGAAAAAAAACTCTTAGAACCTACGATATCTAACCATTTGATCAAGTATCCATACTACAACTTGAATAAAATGTTATAATCAGAATTTTGAACTAGATAAAGGAGATTTTGGCTAATTAACAATGCTTATTCTGTACAAATACTTAAAACATATAAAATGTTAATCGTTGACCAAATAGACTGGAGACGGTTGGAAGAAAGTTAGGGGTGGCCAAGCCAAAATATGGCATCAGTCCTTGAAGTTACTAAAGTTTGGTCTGAGCCATCTTGGTAGATGCAGACTACTTGGTTAAGGTCTACGCCACTATCGAAATCAATGGTTAAAGACTCTGGGTGATAAGATTCAGAATCGATCATAATGAAGTAGATGTATACACTCCTTGTCTTCTTATAAACTTTGAAATTAAAATTACTTTATATCTTAACTTCGACCAAGTAATTCCTTCTTCCTGTATTATATTCTCATTGTGCAATCTTTCTTTTATATATTACCAGTATTGAATGAACTACTTCTATGAATTCGGTGTTCATCGTGTTGTGTTAATGAGGTATAACAACTTGAACCGATTCGTCTATTTGCCTGGTCCTACGTTATAACTGACTGATTGAAATAGATTAGTGTGAAAGTTTCTCTAATGTTACATCGGACCATACTAATCTTCATTAATCATATAAAAATATTGACCTTTATTGTTAATGATCATTCATTGAGTGTTTTGTAATTTTATGAACTAATAGGCAAGTAACTGAAAGTCAATTGACTTTAACAGTTGAAAGAAAATATCAACATTGGCAATTGGAATGTAGCGTTAGTAATTCAGAAGATTTTGTTCCAGCAAAATTACCAACTGTCACAGTTACAATTGAACCAATGTGTAAGATGTTTATTTTCATTATTAATTTCTAGATTTTGTTTAATTTTTTCATTACACTGGTTGAAATCATAAATCAAGTGAAGGTAGATCACCATGGAAAACCTGGAAGCACTGGACCGCCGTTTCGTCCTACTATGAAATGTAGTAATTTATTCAACACATCTACCTTTGAATTCCATTGATCGATACCTAACGTAGTCCATATGAAGTTCATCATAGACGTCACAGATTTGAAAGTCGATGACGTAGATAGATATAAGTAAATTGGGTTTATATTTGTAAACCAGCGTTGATGGACTAAATCATTTTAAAGTTTTCTAATGATATTTACAAAATTCGACTCGTTTCAGTTATACATTTAGTACAGGTCATATTTTATTATATTGAAAATCTGCGTAGTTCCACATCATTATCATGTAAATGATCATTTGCTCACTAGTGAATGAATTCAAGAGATACTCCTGGAGTTCTAGTGAGAGGCCGTTACCAGTGGAGTTCATCCTGGTCTGTTGTGAGATAGGAAGTCACTGAAGACAATGGTGCACGATGGCGCAACTTCGTGGATTGGTTGAAGTTAGATATTAACACCGTTGGATGCCGGCTCAGTGGTCTATTTGGTTAGGCACCTGGCGCGTGACTGATAGGTCGTGAGTTTGAATCTCGCCGGGTGTGAGATCGTGGATGCGCACTTTTGAAGAGTCCCATACTAGAGTGAAACGGCCGTCCAGTGGTTCCAGGATTTCTATGGTGATCTAGCTTCAATTGACTCCTGATTTCAACCAGTGAAATTTCTAAAATCTCCACAAAAGCCTTTCTGATAATAATAACTAACTTATTTATTGTAGTATTTATATTGTAAAAGTAATGACTAGATCTTAAGGAATCATAGATGTTAATCTCGACACTGTTAGACAATGTACTGAGGGATTACAATGGATTTGTTTCTATGAATAGATTATATAAGAAAATCATATCAGCTTGTCATTGAATGAGCAGAAACTCTATGAATCAACTATCTCATTGATGGTGAATCAACTTGTATAGCGTTGCTTAGCAAAATTCACATCTGTAAAGCAATTTCAAAATCATATATATTTTAAGTGGTATTTTTTGATGCGTAATGACTGATATTTGACAAGAAATTAGTTTAACCAGATTCTGATTGACTATGTAATAAAATGTGTACGTGCAAGAGATCGAATATTCTAGGTTTGATTCTCTGTAATGAGGTCTTGGGTGAGCAAATGGATCAGCGGAGAAGATTTGTAGCTAAGGTGGATAATTTTGATGGAGTTTCGTTCTCTGATCTGGATGTTTTGGTTGTGGAGCTTTCATCGTTCTTATGAACGACACCATCAGCAGAAATTTCAGATAGAAGTGAAGTGTTCGAATTTCTCCACATGTGGTTCACAGCTTGTCCTGTAGACCTAGATGTTGATTGGTTCTCGTTGACCTTAAAGGTCAACCAAATGTGGAGAAATCCAAACACTTCACTTCTATCTGAAGTTTGTACTGATGATGTCGTTCAGAATAACGATGAAACCTCCACAACCAAAACATCCAGCTCAGGGAACAAAACTCCATCATAAAAACATGAATCAGCGCTACTAAGAATTATTATATTGGGATGATAGAGTTGCCTGTAGACTTTTAGTTTTCAATGATGGTTTAACTAACATCATTCTGTGACGGAAACTATAAAAAATTGAATGATCTCAACAGCGGCCTATTAAAAATCTGTTTATGATTTGAATTGGTTTGGTAATCAGCATATTATTAGAAACACTGAGTACAAAATACGTAGTTGAAACAAGTGGCAAAATCCATCTTACAGAAGGTTTTAAAGCATTATGTAAAATGTCTCAGCGACGTATTTCTAAGTTTATAGAGGTCAAGCCTCTTTCATATGTACAAAGTAGAGTATATTCTAACCTAAGGTGGTTTGATGTGTTCTTATTCTTTCCATATGGTATGAGTTTTATTCACCTTTAAATTATAACTCTGTATTTATCGATTGAACCTTCCTTTCTGGACAGAACTAGAAAAGAAGGCCCAGGACAGAGTGGGTTGGAGAATGATGATCAGGGGCCTATGCGCCATTAGCAGTAACAGGGGTAACTAAGTAATTTATCGATTGAACTTTTAGTCACGATGACGTTAACAAGTATATACGTAACACCTCAGCAACGCGCATCCACTGTCCCGTTTTGCACGATTCCAGCCCATAACCTATCGGTCTTGCACGCAAACGCTTAGGCTTTAAGCCACTGATCTGGCATCCGAAGGTATTAATGTTTAACTTCAACCAATCCACGAAGTTGAGCCACCGTTCATCATTGTTTTCAGTGAGTTACGGCCGTACAGTTTTTCCCCTCTCTGAGATATGTATCACAAGCATCACATTTCTCAACTCAACTCCATTTATTGATTACGTAATGATTATTTGTTTACAAGTCAACTTAGTTCAAATATGATTCTTTTATTTTTCTGTAATTTATTTGTTTTACTGATATCTAGACATAGAAAATGTTAAAATACAAATTATTAACCAAACAGAACAAGCAAATCTACGAGAAGGTCAATTAGTCCATTTTGAATGTATAGCAAAAACAAATCCTTTAACACCAATATACAGGTCAGTGTTATTAGTTTTGCTTTAAAGGATTACTAGTTGATAGAAGTCTTTTGCATTGTTTGTTTAAATCTTACCATTAAAGTTTAACGCTGCAACTGATCAGTCTCTTATTGGTATATGTGCATCGTGTGCGGATTGCCTCAATATTGCATTATAATTAAAGAAAACCAGTGTCAAACAGTCTGGGAACATTGAATTTGAGAGCCACTAAATGCTTGTAAATTATCCCAAGACTTTAAAACACTCAATAAATAATCATTTAGTGTTCACTCACAGATCCTGTTGCAATCATCAATCCTATGTCTCACATTTCATGGTTCATGCGTTTTCTTACGAAGTGCATTACGTTCCCGCTTTTCCTTTGTTGATCTTTCCCCATCTTCTGCTGCCAGACATTACGTTCTTTAACTCTCGTCGTACACTACTTATATCAATATCAGTAGAACACACCACAATAGGTCTGCATATTAGTGAACTCATGAATAAAGTCCAACTCAGTATCGAAATAACTCGTAAATAGTACTGTTTTGAAAAAGAACACTGGGGGTGTGGCATAATCAAATGTATTTAAATATAAGATTACAGAATATCCTGGTAAACTCTCAGAACTATACTGTTAATATTTCATTTCCAAAAATATCTGTCATTTGTCTCATAGTTGGTTGTTCCTTCGTTCCTATACCAATAACTCTCTGTTCTCGTTCTTTTCTCTTCGATCTTCCTAATCTTCTACCTCCAAACATTTCACTTTCGATTGATGCTATATACTACTTATATCTGTTAACATCAGTAGCATAAACCAAAGTACTATTCGATTATCAGTTAAGGATTTGATATTAATTTGATTTACTGCAATAATTACAATTGTTTAATACAACAGCTACTTTGAATACATTTCACTCAAGTTCATCATGTGATATCTAAATGGATGACAAATTAATTATTTGAAATGGTGAGTACTTAATTTCACATTACCAATATGAAGAATGACAACCGATTGTACATAAACTTAACTGGTTGAAATCATGAGTCAATTGAAGCTAGACCACCATGGAAAACTTGGAAGCACTGGACAGCTGTTTCTTCCTGGTATGGAACTCCTCAGCAGTGCGCATTCACGATCCCGCACCCTGTGGGATTCGAACCCAGGTTTTCCATGGTGATCTAGCTTCAATTGACTCATGATTTCAACCAGTGAAATTTCTAAAAAATCTCCACAAAACCAATTCTATTAACAAACTTAACTGACAAATTGTATATTGAGTGAAATACTCATCCATTTATTCCATAATTAGATGATGACACTTTTGATAACTGATTTTCTACATTTTGTTGTTGTTGATATTTTCATTTTATAAAGTTGGACAATTGGAAATCCAATTCCTTCTCTTCACTTGGATACATTGAATTTATTAACAGATAGTCAATTGGAGTCAAGTAATAACATTGAAGATGATAAACATGAACATCATTTAATCAATATTCAAATGAATGCAAGTAGATTACAATTAACAATGAATAGAGCTATGCATCATAAACGTATTCGATGTTGGGTTGGTGTTGAAGCACCGGAATTATTAGAGAAAATTACAAATGCTTCTTTACAAGGTGTATTATTTAATAAAGATTCAACATGTGAATCAAATTGTCGACAATTAAGAAATGTATTAAGAAACAAATTAAAAGATCTAGTCTGGTCAAAGAGTGAATATCGTTTAGAAGTTACTTGTAAGTAAATACAATTGTATATATATATTTAAAAGATGTTTAGCTTTCTTAAATGTCATTGAAATAGAAGAACTCTCAACGAGACTATAATTTATGGATGAGACAATCAGAAGCATTTGAGGACGTTCAGGTTCATAGCAACAACTTTAGTACTTAATACTAACGTCTAATCGGTTCATAGGGGATTTTATACAAAACGTGATAATTGAGCGGATATGACAAATAAAACAGCCAATCAATCAGTTATAAGATAATAGATCTCGAATTTTGGTGCGATGGTCTTTCATCCATTTGACTAAATAGAGTTTCGGCATTATAGCTGATGTTAGGTCGTGATGAAAACCCCATATATAATTCCTAACTAAAGCAAATTACGACAATTATTGCGAACTGGATAATAAAAGCACCAGTAACACTGGTTGCAGCCAGGTACTACAATATATACGGATGATTTCAGAGCGTACAGACTACTACATAGTCTTGGTTATGTGCATCGTGTCGTTATCCACAAGTGGTATTTTGTGTACTCAACAACTAGAGTACACACAATATTGAAGCTATGTGGTCGAGGCTATAAGAGTTTTGAGATTCTATCATGGCTCTAAAGGCTGACTGTTCTGTAGCCGTATGGATGATTTCTTCTACTAAATGAATTACGAATTTAGAACCTCTAAACCTCTTTTTAACCTTGACAAGTTTTTGAACTACATATAAGATGTGTATTCACTTTATTTCTTTGGTTTTGTATAATACATTTTTACTCTATACTGGATGCTTGCTGATTGATTAGTATTTCTTAAGGTTACTTAAGATTCGTTCAAAGGTCGTCCATAAATTATAGTCTCTCCTAACTCTCAGTTATATTCATTTTTAAATTACATCTTGTTAAAGATATAATACCTAACACATTCAAACTTTTACTGGTTTCGTCACACAATGTGAGATATTTCTTCAGAGAGAGAGAGAGAGATAAAACAAGAACATATTGTATCAAGCTTTCTCCTCTTAGAATATTTAGTTGATGAGATTGTGGGAGCTTATTATTAAGTTCTTAAGACATAGGAGAAAATAATTTTGGATGATTCTCTATTTTATTAATTTTTCAAATAAATAGTTGTCAGGGTAATCAACCTACTATTTGCCTACATTTTACCTTAAGTGATAGAAAATTCGATAAACTTTATTCTATAAATGTACATAAAAATATGTTTACAGTACAGCTTACAGTCACACTGAATACGTACATTCATCATTATGCATACACAAAAATGAAATTACTCTTTTACTTATGTTCAATAGAAGAAGATTAATTTCATTACAAAGAAGATGATATTTCCCAAAGACAAAGATTTAAAGAATACAAAGTAACATATAGAAATTAGAGTTATGTATTTGTTAATAAATGGATTCAGTCAGTCAGCTAGTACGTAGGATCAGGTACATATATGCATCGGTCCAAGTTGCCATACCTCATTAACACAACAAGATGGACATTGGATTCATAAAAGTAGTTAATTCAGAGGTGGTAATATATAAAAGATAGATTGCAATAAGGATATATTACATGAAGAAAGAATTAGTGATTTTAATCTTTTAGTTTAAGAGAAGACAGAGAGTGTATACACTGACGCCATTGTGATCGATTCTGAGCCATGTCACCAAGAGTCTCCAACTATTGGTCACGCAGACCCCAACCAAGTAGTCTTCATCTACCAACATGGCTCAGACTAGAAGTTAGTGACTTTTGTAGCTACATTTTGATGTAACCTGCCTTTGATACATGCAATCTACTAATTTATTTTGAACTATGTGTATTGTTCTGCATAATAATTTGGGTTATTTTTCTGGATATGATGAATATAAAACGTTGATATTATCATTCAGTCTATAAAGTGCACAAATTAAATAACCCGATCTGTTGTGAGATAGTAAATCACTGAAGATAATGGTAAATGTGTCGCTCAATTTTGTGGATTGATTGAAGTTAGACATTTACACCGTTAGATAACAGATCAGTGAACTAGAGATAAGCGTTCATGCGCGAGATCAATAAGTCCTGAATACAAATCCTGCGGGACGAAATAGTCGGTGAGCACTACTGAGGAGTCTCACAATAGAATGAAATGGCCGTCCAATTCTTTCAGGCTTTCCATGTTGGTCTAACTTCAATTGTCTCATGAACTCATCTATTGAAATTACTAAAATATCCGCAAAAACCCCTTTCTGATAATGTGAAATCAGTTAGCTTTTAGTATGATTATTATTACTATTAATCATGAATTGCCCTGATACACTAAATTATTTGTCAGGTAGAATATTTTGGTTTAAATCAAATATTAATTATCTACTTTGACTATAAAATCATAGTGTATTATGGCAATAAACGACAAGAAATTTCCTTTTCAAATTACCATACATCAGTAATTTATGCTTGTATCACGTGTGTCCGTACAATTAGGCACAATGTAGAAGATGTCAAATCCTATACACATATATACTGTATCCAGTATGGTATGTACCTAGAAATCAACCTGTTCTCCTATCATAGACAAAATATTACGTGACAGTCGTATCTTAGTTTCTCAATGAGTTGTGTATTGATTGGTGCAAGAAATTTTATATTACTTTTGCATGTTTACTGTTTTCTGTTTTGTTTGATAAAGTAAAGATACATTTTTCAATAATGTGTCCTATCAGAATTAGTTAAATAGTAATAGAAGTTAGTCTATACAGTTGACATTAGTAATTATTACTGTGAAGTGTTATTTCTTTTAACAAGTATCAATTTGAAAACACCTGGTGTTGTTTTACTTGTATTTTTCCATTGTCATTGAGGACTGTAATTGATCAGCATCATGTTGGCATATGTGCATCCTTTTTGGATTGCCTCGATATAGCCTTAGGTCACAAGCCTTTTAAGCAAAGATGGACAGCGACTAGCGGTGAAATCCAGGACGCGCGTTTCGTCCTATTTGGGACTCGTCAGTTGGATGTACTTGCATCAACTCTGGGATGCAAACACACCTAGCTGACTTATCACAAATGGGACGAAACACGAGTCCTGGATTTTATTGCTAGCCACTATCCATCTTCGCTTAAGTATCATTTTGGTTACCTAATTTTTACTAATGTTTAATGAAATCCAGTTTTTTTCTAAATAGCTGTTAATGTTGTTTCTTTGGTGAAATAGGCTAATTTCGACTTGCTTAAAAAAAATTATTGGCCAATCTACTCGGCTATACTCGATTGACTGAAGTAAATACCTTTCTCTTATCTAACATTGTTTAACTTAACCCATCATGGCTTATTTTTATAACTGAATTTGGACAATTAACTGATTGGATGCCAGCTGTAGTCCAGGTTGTTTAAGCCTTAATTTGTATTCATGATAAGATCGCAGATACAAACTATTTAAGCAGCTGTCGCGTTCTTCCTAGTATGCAATCGTTGTCTAACATCAGTTTGTGATGTAAACTATAAAATTTAATAATTTCCACAAATCGTGGATATCAAGAAAGTAAATTGTGGTTTTTTAGTGCAATAATTAACCTTCATTGAAAGCTTCAAATATACTCACTAGGTTTGTTGAAAAAAGTTGAGATTCGTGATGTCACATCACTAACTAAGTTAGACATTCATATGAAAACGAAGAAACACAAAACAGCAGGCATATTTTAATATAAAACTCGTAAGTAGTGTTGTTCCATAACTTCGTACCCCCTTACACTATAATGAGCATCATATTAAGTAAACAAGTCAACGTAATCTGTAAACTATTTGGATATTATAAATTCGTTATGATAATTTACTGTTTATTTATACGGTTTCGGGTTATAGTAATGTTCGAATATGGATATTTCAATGTCTTATGACGAAATTATCACATAGACCCTGCATCTATGCATAAATACAGTAGATTATACATGATAAAATAACGGACTTCTAGCTTACATAATAAGAATCTTTTTAAGCTAATAAGAGAAGGTGAATAATAAATTGATTCTTATTAGAAGGGGTTTTGTGGAGATTTTAGAAATTTCACTGGTTGAAATCAAGAGTCAACTAAAGCTAGATTACCATGGAAAACCTGGAAGCACTAGACGGTACTTTCGTCCTAGCATGAGACTCCTCAGCAGTGCACATCCACGATCGCACACCCCACGAGATTCGAAACCAAGACCTGTCAGTCTCGCGCTAGGCGCTTAACCAACTAGACCACTGAGCCGGCATCCAATGGTGTTAATGTCTAACTTCAGTAAATTCACAAAGTTGCACCGTACGATTGCCACGTAATATTTTATCTATGATAGGAGAACAGGTTGATTTCTAGTAACATACCATACTGGATGCAGTATATATGTGTATATGATTTGACATCTTCTACATTGTGCCTAACTGTACGGACACAAGTGATACAAGCATAAATTACTGATGTATGGTAATTTGAAAAGGAAATTTCTTATCGTTTATTGTCATAATAAACTATGATTTTATAGTAAAAGTAGATAATTAATATTTGATTTAAACCAAAATATTCTACCTGACAAACATTTCAGTGTATCAGGGCAATTCATGATTAATAGTAATAATAATCATACTAAAAACTAACTGATTTCATATTAACAGAAAGGGGTTTTTGTGGATATTTTAGTAATTTCAATAGATGAGTTCATGAGACAATTGAATTTAGACCACCATGGAAAGCCTGGAAGAATTGGACGGCCATTTCATTCTATTGTGAGACTCCTCAGTAGTGCTCACTGACTATTTCGTCCCGCAGGATTTGTATTCAGGACCTATTGATCTCGCGCATGAACGCTTATCTCTAGTTCACTAATCCTTCATCTAACGGTGTAGATGTCTGACCTCAACCAATCCACAAAATTGAGCGACATATCTACCATTATCTTCAGTGATTTACTATCTCACACCTAGTATTTAACTAAAACTGGTGAGAAATAAGATGTATGATGAATAGTTTAATCACTCAATTTCAGCAG